TTCACTTAACTCAATCACTCTTAATTATATTGTTATGAAACGTAGTTACTGTATGTCCGAGAGGAAATTAATGGAAACCAATGATAATATTTTAATGCACAAGAAAATCTCTTCACTATCTTTTTGTTACGAGAATGGTGATTATTCAATTTTAGTTAAATATATAATAATTCAAATTTTAAAAGATGAGATCATACTTTAGGAGTATGATAATTATAATGTTATAATTATTATTCAATAATACAATAAAAATTGAGTGAATTATATATCTTTATTCACTTGAAATGGCTACAGTTATTTAGTGCAATGACACAAAATACTTAATAATTGATAATGATAAAAATACGACAACACGATCAACTGTCATTTTTTTTAAATGATCTACGTTATTGAAAACGCAGACAGACTTTCATCCGTAAATATTAGTTTACAACCTGCAATTTAGTTATATTTGAATATTCAGTAATAGTTCCATTTTATTTGTTCCACAGAATGTGGAATTAATTCTCCAGCGGAGACAATTCCGCTGAACGATACACATTGACACTGGCAAACGACAAAATCGCAGTGTATATGCGCCTAGCACTGTGGCTAACACACGAACATGAAAATGTCAGTGTAGGTATGTGTCTCGTGTCGGTGATTCTATAGAACAAATAGTGCAGCCGAATAAGGGGTTGAAAGGTTAAAAGTGCCCTTAAATCAAATTGGACTTGCGATAGACCATCCGATAATTTACCAGAGGAAAATATTTTACACGAAGTTCCAGTAGTTTTCTCCCTTTTCCAAAACGATATCAACAAGAAAAACAAAGTTACAAATAGACATTTCAATAAATTTTTCCCACCTAACTGTTTGCAAAAATTGAATAAAAGATTTCATTTAATGAACAGTTAGCAAGTTCGTATCATGCAAAGAAAATTAGGAAATTTTTGTTACGAGTAAATTCTTTGCAAAATAATGCTGCAAATTCATTTTTGAGAATTTAATATGCGATGTAGTGGATGTGCACAATATAATCTTTTCTTTGTCGTTGCGTTTCTTAATCAAAATAGGAAGTCGATATGAAATGTTTTAATCGGGTCAGTTATGTAATGGTTATCGTAAGTTTAATTTTGTTCAAGGTACTGCATGTGTATCCTTCGTTTATTGGAAAATGTATACGCATAGTCTAGACAATTAAAACAAACTTTCGCGACAATACTAGATGTATTGGGGACAAAAATCTCTTAAACACGAACGTTTTGAAGAAATACTTTTGCTTAAAGCAAATTATTATAAAGATTGCTGCATACTATTTTGAAAACTATTTCTTTCGTCATATTTGAAATAAAAAAATAGCGAAATAATCCGTTATTTAAAAATGCTACTACTTCAAAATCATCGATATTATTTCCATTTTTCAATAACAGCATTGAAAACGGTGGATCGAAATGAATTATTTTAAGCAGTTATCTCATTTTAAATAAAATCTGCTCAGATCTGCCTGAATGAAAGCAATTGTCAACATCGAGGAGAGAATTTACCGCTCGAATCGTGGTAATCACATTCACGGAGAAGAATCACCATTATTACAAAAAGCTGTCGGTCCGCGATGCGGCTTATGGAAAATAGGATAGAAAAGATTCTCATGAATTCCGCTTTGAATCGAGATCATTTTAAAGCGTAGTGGAACGTACCTGGACCTCCGCGCCGATCGAACGAATCCGACGTTCCTCGAGTTAGGTCCCGCTAGCGTTAAACCGTTTGTATTATTCTCCTGCGGGGTCTCCGTAGAGCATGGACAAGCCGGACGCTTGGTTCTCCATGGGCCGCGTTCCTCGATCGAGTGAATCGTATTCTGGAAAGCCTGCAGGGATTTGACGAACCTGGACCTTACTCTGTTGAGGTCAGCAGAGCAGATTGCCTCGAGGTCGTAAATTTTCCTCCTGTACGAGCCGAGCGTTCGCGTTGAAAGACGTTGCTCGAACGAGTTCAGCTCGTCTTGTAGATCGTCGATTGTCCTCTGATACATCCAAGTCCCAAGGCATGCTAGATGGCCTGTCTTCGACGTGTCCTGATGAACGTTTCGATACGGATTACAGGCCGACCGGCGACTAACGAGCTACCAACTTACTATCGACGAGTGTATCGGCTGGTACAATTTCACAGGGCTGCATGGAATCCGTGTGTGCCTGCCTGGGCAGCAGTTCTGCCTCCTGTGATCTAAGGATAATTGTTTCACTGAGTTTTGTTCAACGGAAACTGCTCATTGTGCTTGACCATGTAATTTCGCGCCGGTGATTTTCATTACCGATAAATCTACTTCTAAACACAGAGCTGTTGAACGCTCAGACGAAACGATACAAACTCGCGTCGAATTTCGTGAAAGTGTTTCTATGTATTATATTATTATTATTGTTATTATATATAATATATAATAATAATAATAATAATAATATATATACATCAAGCTAGCTTGTACATTACTTTATCATATGCGGGTATATTATCAAGTTTACATTTATTAAATGGAATGAGATATTGTAGATGATGCATTGAAAACGCATTCTTCATAATAATTATCACGATAAACATTAATTATAAAAAATGTTAATATTTTTATCACTATAAAATTTAAATGTTCTCACTACTCTCCTAACAATTAATTTTAAAAAATTTCGATTTAATAAACATTCATACAAGTTCGCATTGCACTCTTAATTATAGTTAAATTCTTTAAATTATATTCTACAAGTAAGTATACATAAAACTTTACAACTTTGATAAGTTATTTCAGAAGATCTTTTTTCAGTTTTCAAAAAATGACTCTTATAATCCCGTGGGACGTCAATTCAACAATATTTTCTGCTAAATATCTTATATAATTAATATTTGGTAACATCCGAGGAATGATTAATGAGAAGAAGTAAAATTGTGTAACCTGTCAAACTATTGTAATTACATGGTAACTTCACAAACTTTTGCAGTATCGTCATTTGAATTTCCTGATGAAGATTCAGTCTCTCGTGCTTCAGATCTGTTTTAAGGTCCCGAAGCACAGAACGGAGCGTTTTAATCCGTGAAATCAAAGATTCATTGTATTCGAGGTTATTTGGCATTACACGGTCCTCGCTATCCATTTTTCGTTATATTTTACGCGGGAGGTGTGCAAAGTCGTCGAATTTATTGAAAACATGAAAGCATTTTGGTGGGATCTACGATTGAATGCGTTTCATGTTGCCACTTGAAATGTTATTGAACCGGTTCATTACGTACCTGACACGTTTGCGGAATAATGAATAGTATTTTAAACGTGTGTAATACACATAATGTATTATGGCGGATACATAGGTATTTAAATGTATCCTGTTCATAAAATTATAAAGGTTAATATTAATAATTATGTATACAGGGTATAAATAGTGAATATAATTTACAAATTTGATAAATGGATTATAGATTTAATCAGCTGGTAGTATTCACAGTTTTGCAAAATTTCATATATTTGAAACTTTAATGAATCTTCAATTTTGTTCATAATTTTATTCTAAACTTAAACTACTTAATATTAATTATTAAATGGAGATATAAGTTATCTCGCAATCACATTAAATTGCTCACTTTGTCCACGCTTGGAATTCCTAACGTCCATTGAACAAAAGACCATTATTAACGATTTAAGTAACGGATCAACTAACAAACAGAGTATGCACTAATAAACAATTTTAAACGTTCCAACTTTCTCGATCTATTTCGAATATTCCGTCAGTCCGTAGTTTTCACAGCAACTAAAATTCTCGTCGAACTCATTTCGAATTCAGTCGATTATGTTGCGCTCAACTTCCCGTAAAACTTTTCGCGAACCCGACAAGGAAGTTCGAGGCATCGATTGGTGGCTAATTACGCCATTGAAAATTCCCTCGCGATGATTGGAGCCTCGTAGAATCGTTGTTTAACAGGTGATAGACATGTCATCCCGGAAATTGTAAAAGCACCGTAAAGGTGCCTAATACGAGACCCATTTTTTTAAAATCATAATTTTCGATTAAAAACACTTTTATTGAATGTCGATGCTTAAAAACTGAAATATGTATTCTTCCACAATTCACTAAAAAATATAGAAAAAAATGCCGCTTCTTTGTAATAAATTGTTTATCATGTACAGCTGAAGAGTGAAGGTCTGTGCAAAACAAACATTCTGCGTCATATAATTTCTTCTTCATCATCTTTTGAACTACGTTTTCTTTTAGTAGTATTTTTGGAATTGTCTCTTTCGGTTTCGCATTATAATAAGAACTTCCAAAGTTCTCATATTTGAAATGTCAAATATTAAGAAATTTTTAGGATAACTCTTCAATCTTTAACGATATATAGCTGGTAAATCTGCAACTTCATCGAATACACTATACAATAGCATCAATGAAAATAATTATACACCTGCCATTTTTTATGATATTTCCAATATAATCGAACACCTTCAAAAATTTTAATGGAAATAAGCTAAAGTCCCGTAGTAGGCAACTTCAACCTAACGTCGTTAACGTTCACCGTGTTCTTGGAATTTTGAAAACATTTGGATCGCCGCTCGAGGCATTGAACTGCCACGAAATTAATGGCCGAGCCTGTTGTCTCCTATTAAGGAACCAGTTCTTGGCAGTGGAAGACGCTTAATCGACCGAGGGAAGCTGCGAAACGGTTCGTCGAGAAATAAAAAGGACAACGGCGAAAGTGGAGCGTCGAACGATAGCTCGCGAGTCATTTTCATCTCGCTAATGCATGCAAGGAGGTTCCAGAGGTGTTCGTCTTCTGTGGAGGCAGTGACGACAGTGATGACGGTGACGATGAAAAGAAAAACTAGACTTTAATTAAACCGACCGCAATTCCGCATTTCATTTTTTATCCGCGTATACCTTCCGCATTTTGCGATTTCTTATTTACAATTAAATAAAACGTGTTCCCTTTTTTCCATACTCCAGAGGACGTTCAATCTGCTTTGTCTATTATCTTTTTTTTATTGTCCCGATCTATTGTCCATACCTCTAATGCTGAATATTTTCTAGTTTATTTATTAAGCTTTAAGGTATAAAATATATAGGTGAACAAGAGTTGAGTTTAAGTCCTACCATATTGTGCACACTAATTTCAGAATAAAATATGAAACAGAAGAAAAAGGAATATTATAATCGATGAGTATAGTAAATTCTCTCCAATTGCCCCTCATTTTACAAGCAAAAATGGACAATTTTGGAAGAGGAGCTATGGGGCTCGTTTTTGTAGTTATTGACAATCGGTGGCTATAAAAACGAGCCGCGAGATTTGAATAATCGTATTTCCTCTTCCCAAATTAGACATTTTTGTTTACAAGCTGAGAGACAATTGGGGACAATTTACTGTATATCCAAGAACCAAATAGAGTGACAAAATCTTACTAAACTATTAAAGGAGACTCTGAAATCTAGTTTAATTAACACGATATGACTATTCGCCTATTATTTTATGACTATACCTTTACTTTTAAGATTCTATCGAGTTTTCAATACCCATGTATTTTTGAATAGTGATAACATATGATGATGGCTCAGGAAAATGTGTTCTTTATTCTCTTTCATCTGTGAAGATGGTGTGTGCGTTATCAAGCCATAGTAATTTTTACGGGTCGTCAATCTACTAATAACAACGTCAACCAAGGGTTAATCACGTTGTACGAACTTAACCTGGTACAGTTACAAGCAATAGAGATACGAAACGGGGAACCAGCTATACGGAACACCTTGCACATTTTACATTTGGAAAATTTAAACCAGTAGAGCGGAATAGGGACTGTTCGCGAGATTTAAGAGACTTAAACACGTTTCATTTCGTGAGAACCGAACGTTTACATATGAAAACTTTATTTCGTCCTTTCCGTAGCGAGCTTAAGCTAACGCTATCACAGTAGTATAGATACTGATAACGATGTTCGAATGATTATCGACCGAAATATTCTTTGTATGCCACGGATTCGTTGCACCTCCGTTGATTTATACGAAATTAGAAGTACTGATTTCTCTCACAATTGTGAGCTTGTTATTATTTGAAATCGTCGTTCGTATGTTGTTACACGATGAACACAGTTTGCACAGGTAGAATAACGGCCATGCTTTACGTAAACATAAGATAAAACTATCGTATAGAATTTTTATGTGTAACACAACATTCACGAAATGATAAATTTTGAATATTCATAGTGCTGCTAACGAATACCGCTATAATCTTATACAAAAATAGGTTAAAACTATGAAATAAAATTTCGTGTTCCTCAATTCCCTTCTGAACAAAATTTATATCAATTTAAGACAAGAAATGCAACAACGTTAACGAATAAGTAATATCATTAATTAATACTATAAAATCATATACGTCGGCAAATTCTAATTTGGATATATGTATACTTAGTAACATATAGTAATATTAAATTAATTGATTTAATTATTTATATAATTAAAAGTTTAATAGAGATGCTATGGGGTCATGTAGAAAGAGAAGTTCGGAAAATTTAAAACGTTTATGAGAATTATTACAAGTTGAATGGAAGAATATTTCTTCGGATATAATGAAAATGATCAAAATTATTAAAAGACGTTTTAAGGACACCCAGCTTTGTTATTATTGATGAAATATTAAATACGATATTTGTAAAATATATTCTGTGATATAGTAAAAAGTAAAAATAAAAATCATAATAATAGTCATGAATGATTTCACAACTTTTTGGATAACAATCTTAATTAAAGAAGTGTCCGCATACTTATGGACGGGGGTCCATAATTATGCATTATAGAAATCTGATACAATATACATGAATTTATGGCAATTAGGGAATTTAAATAATGACTATACTTGTCGAATGTTCATGTTAGTAAAAACAAACTTTCTTGCTCTAGTTTTCAATTACTTTGTATATTAATTACTTCTTTCCCCGCTGCGCCATGATTTCAGAAACAATCTATGTAAGACAAATGTTTTTCTATCTTGATCTCATTACGAAGTTTTATAGGAACTCAAACATAACACTTCGCCCGGCGTTCTTATTACATTCCGCGTCATAAAACTCTGAAATAGTTTGAGAATCGTTAGCAGTAAGAGATGAGATGAAGAATGGAAGGAAATGGAGTTCATACAGGTTCAGCAAAAAGTTACTAAACAAATGACTGTGTTCCACTTGAGGCAGAAAATAAAGGTTATATTCTGAAAATATAACATAATGATATTAACATTTGTTTTCATTCATCCTGCACATGCAGAGTCTCCATGTGCGCATAAAATTTAATCTATACAATATTTCCATAAAAATTTCATTGCCATGCTATGAAACCCCGTGACCATGTTCATGGCCTATTCGTCACTTTGAAGTAGCAATATTAACTGTCACCCCAATGTCTATAAAAGACACATAAACTCGCAATATCTTATTTAATAACATAAATTAGAAAAGACAGGATTATAGCAACTGACTTTGTAACTTACACCATCTAGATTCTAACGTTTGGTTCATTTAAGGCTTACAAGAAATTTGTATTGCGTTGCGGATAAGTGAAATTGGGACAAATTGGCCCACTGTCATGCATCGTGGCTTTCGAAACTGATCACACACCATTCACGTTTCATAAACTAGATATGAAATATTCGCCACACGTCTGATTCGTGTAGTACAAGGAATTAACACTTGAACAGCGGACATTTTTAATACAAAAATAACTCAGTGTGTTCAACACAATTGTTATAATTTTATTTATGAATTTTTTCAACATATTCGTTAACCTTCTAGACACGTCAAAATTTCTTATAAATCGTAATAAAAAATATATGAAAATTAAAATTAATCGTCTGAAACTAGGTAGTCAAATTACGATATTTATATTTGTTTATATTTAGAGTCTACATGGATCCGAGCTCCGGTTTCCGAATATTAACGCTTTACACTTGAGTGGCAACTCTGAAGCGTCATTAAAAATTGCTATACTATGTTTCAAAATAATTGTAACAGTATCGGATTTGTTTATATCTGGGGTCTAGATGGATCCGAGCTCCGGTTTCCGAATATTAACGTTTTGCATTCGAGTGGCCACTCTGAAGTGTCATTAAAAATTGTTATACTATGTTTCAAAATAATTGTAACAGTATCGGATTTGTTTATATTTTTAAAAAACGGTTAAAACTGCAAGTATTGTACGTGCCAATAGGCTCAATTTCATATGCATAAGCTTCAATAAATCATATAAAATAGAAATACTGT